ATCTATTTGTACTTTTCTCGGAGGGGGAAATCAAAATTTTAATAATATTTTTAAAAATCAAATTCTTAAACATAAATAAATTGGTTAAAAGATTATTTGTCAAATTCTTAAACATAGATAAATTGGTCTTGTTTAGAAATTTTGGATTTTACTCAAGTTTTTTTTGTTCAGATTTTTCTTTTGAAATTTTTTGATTTGTTTAAAAGAATCATAATCCTAACATATAAAATCATAAATAATGAAAAGTATACCAATACCAAAAAAGTAGGGTGAATTCAATTTCCTGGAATGGCGTATGTGGAAATCGTAAGCTATTTCTATATGATGTGCAAATTCTTTTGACTTTGACCAAATATGCACCCTATTTTTTATAATAATTTTAAAACCTACCTCAATTTTGAAATTTCTTACTTAATTTATATTTCTTTTAATTTTATTTTGAAATCTACATTATTTCTGTAATTTATTTTCTAAATAGCATTATTTTTAAAATTAGCCCATGAAACTAAAATTTATTTAAAAATATAATCATTATTTCTTATTTTGAGCATTTTTTCTATATTAAGAATTGCGAATTACCCAGTATCAATTCTTTCCACTAATCGACGTTCATATTATCCATTAATTTTTTACTTGCACGGAAATTTCTTTGGATTTCGGTATCGGATTGTGTTTTCATGAATCCGTCATTCGTTTTGGTGAAGATTTCAGCAGCGATTTCTGATTTCATGCGATAAATGGCTCTTCTCGGCTCCGCAATTAAAAACGAGGTGCGGTTTCAATTCCCTAATTCGATGTTCTTTTCCATTTATCTGTCTGCCATCTTCGGTTCTGTCTATTTAATTTACTCATGAATCAGGTAAAATCGTTTGAATATTATACTTAAGGTCTTCGAGATAAAGGGAGTGTGCAAGTTAGTGGGTCGGATGGAAGAGGTGTCGTATGTTTTACATTCACCGATCTCTTATGTAGGATCCACTTTGTTTTCGTCATTTTTTTGTGACGAATTTTATTTGGCATGGAGGAAAACCAATTGAACTCCATTGCAGGAAGCTATTTGTTTTACTGGGCAGGGTTGAGATAAAATTAACCAGTTGACTTCATGGATTCTTCAGGTTGAATATTATTTTTTATTAGCGTCTATTGAGCTAAGGTTAGGGATAAAAGTTCGAAAGATTGCTGAAATCTGTGTTGGAAGGATATGACAAGAACTCGAATGTAGTATTGATTGTGTCCTTTAGGAAGTCGATCTGTCGGGCCTGGTACAGATATGGACATGATACAATTTCTGGAAATTATTATAAATGCTCTCTGACATGGGAGAGAAATGATATTTGGGATCTCTGTTGCAGGTTGGATTGCAGCTGCTTCTATATCCTCTCGGTTCTAATGTTGTTGTTCGTACAGCATGGTAAGCTTTGACATTAGAACTCCTTTAAGAGGTGGTCTTGTTTGTCTTAACGCCTTTCCTAGTAGCTTGTTCAACTTATTTTTCATTTTGTTCTAAGAAATGTACTAGTGGGAGATGCAATTCTGAAATCTGAATTAGGAGAGTGTGCTTTTAATTGGACTACTTTTATACTATTATTATTAGCTGCATCCATGGTATGAGTCATGTGACCCTTTATCTACTGGTTGTCATTATGGCTTTTGGCTTGTTTAGCTGCTCTGTAGGGATTGTCTTACCCGTGTATTCCACCTTCAAGGCAATTGAGAAGAAAGATCAAAATGAGCAGCAGAAGTGGCTTTTATATTGGGCAGGTTGGGATTTTATTTTATTTTTTCAGTTTTTTCCACTATCTCCCCCCTTGTGCTCTTTTGCTCCTGACAGTTAGCCTCGAATTGCTCCTTCATTGATTTTTTGTTTTTTGGCTTTCTTGATATTAGATTTGAACAATGGATTGTCTTTTACTGAGAAATATGCTAGATTTATTTTGAGCAAACCATGCCATGGTTATTAGAACTTCAATTTGCTGCCAATGAACTACCTTAGGGTTGGCATGGTGATCACTGGGATAAGTGAAAAAAAGTAAACAAACATAAATCCTACGAGTTTCTTAGCAACCAAATGTCGTAGGTCCAACATTTGTTTCGTAAGATTAGTCGAAAAGGGTGTAAATTGACCTAGACACCTAAGAATATAAAAAGGTTTACTTTCTTCGAGATCGAATGCGGGGGGAGAGTGTAGACTAATCCTGTTACCTCATGGATAGTTGATTTGACAAATCCATAACTAGAACATTGTAATTGACTTAGTCTGGCTTATCCATTGTTGTAATGAATAAAATACTGAAATCTATTTGATGGGCTTGGCAGATCATACAACTGATTTTTTCCCTTTTTATTCTACTAATCATTTGTAATGTTATATGAGTATTAACATGTCTGTAAATCTCTGTATTCTATCTAATGTGTCAGCATTTATCATTCTGGTGGAATAAAGATGTTCAGATACTTGACTTGTTGCATGAGATTTTTCTTACTTCCATGAAATTCTAATGTACACCTTCATGGTAATTGCTATAATGCTATCAATGACATTAATCTCTTCTGTAATTGCATTAGTACAGCTTATGGATCTTTCAGCCTTGTTGAAGTGTTCTCAGACAAACTTCTTTCATGGTATCATTCTTTAACACTTACATTTCCTACTGTCTAATGTAATGTATATGCATCTCGGTTTAAAAGAGGGAGCAAAGATAAGGTATCCTCCCAAAGGAGATTACATAAAAGTATTTCAATTGGTGTATTGAAAACATGTCATAATTACATAAAAGGTTTGATGTCTCCCGGGTTCAGGTCTTGGGGTGGCGTGGGTGTTCTTGGGTATAGGAGAGCAAAGCTCCAACTCCCAATTATAAAAAAAAAAATTACATAAAAGGTTTGATAGTATAATTCAAATTTCCTCTGATTCCCTTGCCTTTTCTTAAAAAGTTCTTTGGTCTTTTCCTAACCAAACAAACTGCAAGGCACCAAATAAAACTACAAAAACATATTGGACCACCATTAAACCTTGTTATATAATCCAGTCCTTGATATCAAGTAGTAGGCATATCTGTGCTCTGATACTGATTGTGTGCTTTTTTTTTCTTTTTTTATCTGTTATGAAATTGCAGGTTTCCAGTTTACTATCATCTGAAGTTTGCATTTCTTGTTTGGCTGCAGCTCCCAGCAACTGATGTAAGTATAGATTTGTGTCTTTATGAATCTAGTTTTTGTAGGAAACAAAAGTCTGGTTAAATCACAAAGCCACGTAGGGGAATGAACCTTGTGAGAGTACTCAGGAGTTTGCGAAAAGATCCACCAATTAGAGTTAATTACTAAAGGGGTTATAAATACAAAATATTTCGAGGACATCAATCTAGAAATAGAAAAGACTCAAAGTTAAGAAAAGGATGAAATTCCTATCTCCTTCAGAGATCTCCTAGCATTTCGAGGACATCAATTGTAAGTATGGATTTGTGTCTTTATGAATCTAGTTTTTGTAGGAAAAAAAAGTCTGGTTAAATCACAAAGCCATGTAGGGGAATGAACCTTGTGAGAGTACTCAGGAGTTTGCAAAAAGATCCACCAATTAGAGTTAATTACTAAAGGGGTTATAAATACAAAATATTTCGAGGACATCAATCTAGAAAGAGATCTCCTAGTATTTCTTTCCAGATGTAAGAGCCAAGATAATCCTTTAACAGAGATAGGCGTTGATGCTAGAATTCTATGCCAACTTAAACCAAATAGATTGAACAAACGATTCAAGCACTTCAAAATATTCCCACTAATATTTACATCGGATGCACCAATATAGGGAGGGGCAGCTATGGGGTTTCTTGTTTGCACCACCCCAGCAGTGTTTATGCTTTGTAGGGCCGCAGCCTGAATGGAGTCTTGACTCTCTTAAGCATTTTCCTTTCCCCGACAACCTTAAGAGTGAGCTTTTGGGATCATGGTAATATTACCAAATTAATACCTAAAAAGTGATCTGCAAAGAAAGACACTTGAAAAAACACCCACTGAACCTAGGAAGATTGTGATGAAAATTTTAGCTTTTTCCTCTATGAGATGAGCCCATTAGACATATGGATAGTATAAGATAAATGAGTAAGCTAAGCCTAAAGGTACTTCACTTGGATCCTCTACCTACGATGTATACTCAAATCGGATATACACACACACACACACACACGTACACTTGTGTGTGTGTATGATGGATCAAGAATAGACAGAAATAGGATATTTATAATAAAAGTATGTTTCTAAAGTGGCAATTTTATGATTGTATACCATAGCATTTTCGATTAAAAAACTGCCTAGAGAAGAATGACCACTAGTTCTGAACTCCAGTTACCACTCTCCTTTTGCTCTCTCACCATCAATTCATCTGTCAATGCAGTCTCTAGTTAGCTAACAGAATCTAACTGCTCGCCATCAATTCATCTGTTAATGCAATCTCTATCTAGCTGACAGAATCTAACTACTCAGTGTTTTAAGTTTTTAACTATTAAATATTTCCACATGGAATTTCTATACTCTTTATTTTTACTGGTTTTTCCTAATGTGAGTACATATCACATATGTACAAGGCGACCAAAGGATGGAGTATGACTTGAGGTCATCTCATTAACTTTAGTTTTAATTTGATGCATAAAACAAAAAAGATTAGAGTTCTAGTAAAAAGTAATAAAAGGGTGAGAGAAGGAAAGGAAGATCAGGAAAAGGGTTGGAGGAGGGTCATAGAGTAGTTGCCTTGCCGCTTGCCACGTCTGTGGCCAGGCAAGGGTCAGTTCCCGAGGCTCACCATTAAGAACAACTGAGTTGTGATTGTACTTATATTGGTAGAGTAACAGTCACGAGTCGGTAGAGTAACAGTCATGAGTCAGAGACTCAGAAAGTAGTTATTAACCTCTCAATCTAGCCTGTATTGATAGTAAAGATGGGACGTCCTAAAAACGATGCACACGTAGGTTGTCCGGAAAACGATGCACACATAGGTCGTCCAGAAAACGATGCAAGACGGTTGGAAATCTTAATTTTGAGTGCTTTGGAGTGGTCTCGGAAGTAAAATCAGATTTGCCAATACTGGGATAAACAAAATCAGTTGGACGTCAGCAAGCCATCAACAGTCGCTATCTCTACTGTCTACAGATCCATATAGTATCAGATTTTAGAAGGTCCCGTTGAATGTCTTCTGAACAATTTTCTTCATAATACAATCTGTTGCAATTACAGGGGGCAAAGAAATTATACGCTACCCACCTGCGTCCTTTCTTCCTTAGGCATCAAGCGAGGGTGGACCGAATTTTGGGCTCTGCTTATGGTGAAATGGTAACTCCTCATAATCACGTCTGTTTTTCAAGGAGCTTGTAGACCCTTCCATCTTATATTTAAAAGTGATATTCAAGATTCACATATCTAAATTCCACTGTTCTAAACAAACCTAAAGAGATTTAATATTCTCTTCCTAATAGTCTTTTGGAGATCTCTGAACAATTTGAAACGGGCATTTTCGATCTTCCATTGCAGGTTAAAGTCATCAGTGCACATCAAGCAGAAATTCAGTGCTTTAGGACCATGATTGTTAAGATAATGGGATCAGGTGAGGACGTAGCTCCCTTGTATTGCTTAATTTACCAATCCTCCTTTTAACTGTTTTTTTTTTCCTCCGCCGCTGGAACAGAGGAACGAACATCAGGGCTTGGGCCACCCAGACCAAATCAAGCCGGAAGGCACCTAGCCATTGAGGATCAATCGACGCTAGACTCAGATACAGAGTCTGATCTTAACGATTGATTTCTCATAGCCTACAATTTCCGTTGGTGTAATTATTAGAATATGAACTCCCGATGTTTGGGAAGGCTTTTTTAGGTAGCCGCATGTAAAAATGAGTGCGACATTTTGGGCATTGAATGAACAATCTTGTTTCACAATACCTTTGACTCAGAAATGAACTACAGCAGTCAATTCCAACTATTGCAAGTGGGAATTTTTTTAGAAGTATTTGTAATCTCCTACAGTATTTGTGATCAAGTAGTGAGTGAAAATTTCTTTTATAATGTTACAGTTGAAACAGGGTCAAGCGTATAGATTAGTCAGAAAAATAAATTTCTATACTCCTACAACAAGATAATAAATCTGAGTTAATATGGTTCCCTCTTCCCAGGCCAGAATCACAGCTCTTTCATAAATGGTGTGAATTGTGAATGGCTGTCTTCAGTTGTTACCCTCGCTGCCCCGAGACTGGGTAGCCGGTGGAGTTGTTCCCTTTTCAAAGTTAGCTAATGCCTCCGCTCCACAAAATCGTGTCAATTCTTCCTGTTTGGACAACAAAATTAAACAGAGTTCAGTCTCCTTGAGGACAAGATTTGGTTAATTCTTTTAAAGAACCAAATAGCAGCAGCATAAATGGGAAGAATATTTGACCTTGATGGAACTATTCTCTGAAGTTAGCTTCTCACATTCCTCGGACAGCCTCTGTAGCTCATCCCTTAGACTGCGATTCTCGTTGTTCAATGTCTGCACTCTCGCTTGTAATTCTTCGCACTCCGCCTGTCATTAATAGGCGCAGGTGATTAGGAAAAAAATTCTAGTATAAAAGTATGGATGCTCCTACTTGCTATAACTCGATCAACGTAAAATTGTAGCAATCAACGTAAAATCGTGCAAAGAAAAATGTATATGCTACGGAACTTTTCAAGTATGGGGAGGATAGAAGGATAGAGCATAATCACCAAACTTATTGTTAAAAAAACCTAGACAATAACGAGGCAAATCAAGATTGGAATACTGTGTATTAAACTACACACACCTATCTCTGTCTTTATTTTATTTTGATATCTATTATATGGAAATTTTGCATTAAGATTTCTCCACGTATTTTTTTTTAAATAAAAAATCTCTATACTCCGAAAAAATTGCATCACAGTCGATATCTCAACTCGGGCCAAAATTGTATGTCTTACTTCTCCATTGATATTTACGAAAAAGCCGACACTAAACAAAATATGCACTTTTCCAGCGTACAAAGATTTATCAGATTAATGTAGAAATTAGACCAAATAGAATTGATTTTTACCAAATAAATTATGTAGAAAAGTGATTGAACAGAAATCATATTTTAAACTAGTTTTTAAAATATTTTACGATCTAATTACCATACTCATCTCCATCTCCCCATCCCCCTTTAAAATAATTCTTTTAAGAAAAAATTCTCCATCCCCCTTTAAAATAATTCTTTGAGGAAAAAAAAAGGGTAGCGCCCAACAAGCGGAAATCATGCTCGCTAAATTATAAAATACGGGTACCAAAAATGGTAGAAAATAAACATACGTGAGCATGTATAATACCTGCTTACGTAATCTTGACCGTCTGGCAGACTCTCGGTTAGATTGTTTCCTTTTCTGTCTTTTTAGCTCACGTTCATCCTACCAATCGGCACAGACGCCAAACAAAAAGAATTTCAATGAAAATTGACAGCATATCGAAGTATCCGAGGCTGAATACTGATTGATTACGTGTATGAAATGAGAAAGGAACTGCTATAGGTGTATGTCTATTAACATATTAAACAAAATTCAACATAATAAATAGTCCATTTCCCTCCAGAGTTCGAAAGAATTTCAATATTATGAATGAAAGGGGGGGTGTATAGCTCATACTTGAACCCATTGTTCGGACATCACACCATCACGACCAACCATTGCTGCTGGAACCATAGCTGAGGATACAGCGTTTGGTCTCCCTTTTGCAGCCCCAGCGGCAGCAGTGGTGGCATTCCACAAATCCATTCCCATGTTCAGATTGGTTGCAGGAATGGAGGTAACGGGTTTCCCAGTCACTGAAGATTTAGCATTTGGTCCACCCGTTTTGTTTTGTGCGTTGGCTCCTGAAAACAAAGTGCTATTACAGCACCAATAGCAGCATATATAAATAGTATAACTCAAAATTGAAGTTAAAAATAATACCATCTGCTAGCATCTGGTTGAAGCTTCCCTTCTTATTTGCAGAAAATTCCTGAAAAGAAATGGGAATACTCTCACTAGTACAAGCCCATCATAGTGGTAGAAACCATTCAGGCGATTGAAAAATCTTGAAGAACTAACATGAGGCAAGAACGATAAATTGCCGTCCCTTTTTCGGCAAACTCATACAGAGAGGCTCCAGTAGCTTCTTTTGTCATTTAAACCAAGTGATAGTGCACATATCTAACAAAATAACAAATGTATCAAAAGCACATACCTGTTGGTTAGCATTCTCATCACTACCTTCTGATGAGCCCTCCGTACCACTTTCAGCACTACAAATACCAGAAAGTTCCAGGTCAGATGGGGGGTTTACTCCAAACAAGAACACAACATATACCAAGCCTCGTGTTAAAACACCTTTGAGAAGCACCATCATTTCCAGAACTTGAAGCCCCCTTTCCACTTTCCCCAGTCCTAGCACCACCTGAACCGGCATTTCCAGACGTGCCCTTGGATTTTTTTGAGGCCCTTTCTTTTCCATTAGGAGATTTTCCTTCATATTCTGCGTTGATTGGTGCAGAGCCAGGAGTCTACAAACGAGAAACATGTATATCAACAACCAACTTAAAAGCCTTCTATTCTACTTTCACTGATTTGAATATGAATAAAATCCACCAACTCCATCGTGTAAAATGGAGATTACCACGGTCATATTAGGATGGGCATAAACTCCCCCAGGAGGATATATTGCTGGATAAGGTACTGGAGTCCCATAAGGTGGCATCAAAGGATGCTGAAAAAATGTTGACACAAAATTAAGAAAACAGGAAATTTATCGTCCCCTATGGAAAATGTCAAACGCCCTACGACTTCCAAGGGACAATAGACAATTACAATCACCTGACTTCCCCAGAGGTAAGGGTGGGGAGTTGGAGAAGCAACAGTAGATGCAAAAAAGGGAGGTGGAGTAGCACCAGCACCATAATAAGCCTAAAAAAGAAGCTAAATTTGAGACAGCAGTATTCATCGAGATCTTCAAAACAACTTCAGGGGCTTAATGATTCAAATGGCAGGTAATATAAAATCAAAACACCATATCCACCTGCATTGAGCTTGACCAATCAGGATATGAAGGTGTCGGGGGTATTTCCTGTGCGTAACAATCAAAATAACTCAAGATGTGGGCAAGGTGAGAATGAAACCTGGGAAATGTGAGGAAGGTTATATTACCTGAGATGAAGAGGGAGGTTTAGAAGTTTTAGAAGGCGTGCCCTCTTCTCCTGTCCCCATCAACCAACGCTGAAAACACTATAATTCAACAATTTCCTAGTGACAGTCCTGCGTCCTTGATGATATCTACGACCAACCTGATAATCAGCTATCAACTACAATGAATTGGACTTCGGGAAAAGAAAATGAGAGCCATAAATACACTTGAATTATTAGAGAGAGAGAGAGAGAATTGTTAATTTAGGAAAAAACAACATAATTTCATTCAATAAGTACGTCAGGCAATAATAAATTCATAGCAGGGCTATCTCGGTACTAATCTATGGAGTTATTACGATGCAATGCGATGGACACCATTCAACACTTCGAAAGTGAAGATAGACAATATCTATTTAGGTTGCGGTAAATTGGGTCTGAATATTAGACCCCAGATTTCCAAATAAGGATCTACTTTCTCGAATTAGTGATCCTTCTAATAATCTGTCACCCCCCTAGACGCCTAATCATACTCAATCCCTCGAATAACTATCTCTACTCGTTCATTGAAATTAATGATCAAACGTTCATTTTGATTCTCAGGGACTCGCTCTTCAATTTCCCTAATCATTAAGTTCCGACATAGGTGCCAAAAAATTATGCGATTGAGCATGTTTCTATATTTGTAATTTACGTCCATAGTGGGAAATCGAACATGTAATACGTACACCTACCTATAAGAACACATCTTTCGATCTATTCCAATCCCCAAATTTATGGGTATAATCATTCAAGCAAAACCAAAAACAAAAAAAAAATTCCCACAGAATTCCTTGCTTATAGATTTGCGGTATAGGACTCCACTAATCGTCGAATTAGAAATAGAGGGCCACATATTGGGGGGGAAATCGTAAGTCATCAACGCAAAATCTGGACGCATGGATTAATGAAACGAGAAACTTAGTTTGAGTAACAGAAGTAAAAGAAAATCGAAAGAAGTTGAATTGAGTTAGGAAACCAAAAGACGGCCAAGATATTTCATATCCCAAGATTAATTCGAAGATACCAGACAGCCGGATGGAAAAAAACTATAAAAACGAAACAAAAATTAGGACCAAATACGACCAAATGTTCCAATACTACGTGTCTATGTAAGAAGAAACTACAACTTTGGAGAGAGAGAGAGAGAGAGAGAGAGAGAGAGAGACCTGCTTTCATGGCGCAATGAAACTTTCAGAGAAATGATGTGGAAGTCCAGGTGGAAGGCGCGTCTGTATTTAGGTCGTTGACTCGAAGATCAACGGTTGAGAATTGCGGATTCTGGACCTCTCGAAATCCAATCTCCCGCAGGCAAAAACCTAGTCTCTCTGTGGGCGAGTTGTCCGTCGCCGGTGACGACCGGTGGCGGCTCAGATCAACAGTACGGCGGTGGTAGGGGATAGCGCCACCACTGAACCTGCCTCTGCCGACTAAAACGGCTGCGCGTGCAAAACGGAGAGAACGGATCCGGTTTGGCGGTGCGATGTCCTTATAGGATAACCCGGGTTAACTTTAAACGACGCCTTCGGGTTAGGGTTTCGCCAATTGACACGTGCGAGAAAGATCCTTCCAGCTGTCCACGTTTTACTGGATCACATTCGTGACGAAGCCAAACTTCGGTGACTCATCGTGACAGCTAATGGATAACCTTAAATATTCTCCTCATTTTTTTCCTACCTTTTGTGAACTATATTAATCTTTATTATTTCTTCCTTTCTAAACATAATTTCCTTTTAAGAATTCAACGTTGTAAATATTATATACGGTAAACATTTTTCCTTTTTTCCTTTTTTCAAGATAAAAATGATTAATAAAACCAGAGAATTTTAGATGTGAGTAATTCAATAAAAATAAAGGATAAAAATGAGGAGGCATAGTCAATTTGTATTTCATTTATTGATGTGTTCGCAAATTTGTTTATTAAAAGAAAACAACCTGTGTTTGTAATTGCAATTAATAATCTGTTCTTAAAAAAAATACATATATATATTGTAATTAATAATCTGTCACGTGGTATGTGAATATAAATAATGTTTTCACCACCAGCACACCATCAAATCTGATCAATGCTACTTTGCAAAAGAAAATGATAACTAAATAAAAATACCGCTTCCTCACATTTCTACTCGATTTGTATTTTGGTCCTTAAATTTAAAAAATATTATTTTTAACTTTTGAATTTTAATTTAGTTTTTAATTGATTTATAAAATTTGAATTTCGTTTTTAATTGGTATCAATATTGAGTTGTTAACTTAACTAACGAAATGATGATGTGATAGTTAATATATATGGACTAAACTTTTTTAAATGATGATTAGATTCTAATTTACCATGCGAATCACTAAATTTCAGCCAACCAAATTCATCGAGGTTTTTATTAGTCATTTGAGATATCTCACATTATTTAATCAACATGTATTTATTATCATATCATCATTTTGTAAGGTCAATTCAACTCAATGATTAATTAGAAACCAAACTCAAATCTAAATCACCAATTAAAAACTAACATGTCATCTTTAAAACTTAAAAATTAAGTAGAAACTAACTTAAAATATCAAGGGACTGAAAGTGATTATTTTTTAATTTACGGACCAAAACTGTATTTTTACCCGCTCATCCAACAAAAAAATAAATTTATCAATTGTATTTTAATCCTTCTTTCAGATTCACATAAAAATTAGATGGATTCCAAATTCCAAATGTCTATGGAGATCCATAGCTTTCATTGGTTGAATGTCCAACAAAAACTACAGTTTATAAATAACCATATTTTATTAGTGAACTTATTTGACAAAAACGCGGAACAAATATGTGGACAACTTTTTCTTTATAAAAAACTGAGGTGGCTAAATATTTAAATTAAAAAATGGTTAAAAAGGCATAGCCCTAGTTATTAGTTTTTGGACCAAATTAAATGAATCAAATCTATCAATTTTAAGTGAATATATAAGGGGGGAATCTAAATTGTGATCAATTTTTTTTTTCTTTTGCATAATATAAGATCTTTACCCATAACAAGGAAGTAACCTTTTTTTTTTCTTTTTCAATTAGTTTATCATTAGTCTTTTAAAATGGTAATAAGAATTTGATTGAAAAATTAAGGATGAAATTAAAAAAAAAAAATACACAGAATACGGAGGACGGCTGAATTATTTGAAAGTTATACAGAAATAATGTCATCAGAAATCAGAATATTAGGTAGATGACAAATAAATATTTCAAAAATGTCAACCATCTTTTTAATAATACTTTTTTCGCGGTTTGAACAATAAACATATTCATTCAAGTATTTTATTTGTTAGTGTCGTATAATTATCAGGTAAATGCCCTAATTTCTTGAACCTTAGTAGTTTTTCGTGCATATCAGTGATGAAATGATAATTTATTTAAAAGTGCTTAAAGATAAGTTATATATATTATTGTCCACGTAAGTGGATGATGAAAATGGTGATTTTGAAAGTCTCAAGCCATAATCACTCACGATTATAGCACAGTAACTAAGATCAAAGATTCCATTCTTACTAAAAACATTCATTAATGAAATGAGTAGATGTCTCAGTGATTAGAAACATATTACTTATTTGTTTAGTAAATTTATGAATTCAACTCTCTAAAATCATATTATTTGTACAAACTCTTCTTTAACCTCGCAGTAGAGTTCATAACAGCTCTTATTCAATGAAAGTTTATACATTCACTCAATCATAAATCTTGTTAATGTAACCAAATTAAGCATGATTCAATTGGTTAGATATGGGTAGAGGCTAGATACCCGAATCAGAAAAAATTATTGAATCCAACTAGATAAATATTTGAATAATAAATTAAATTAACGGCTACACTGTACTAAAATTCTGAACAAAAAGATCCAAATTCAAAGTTCCAGGCGAGTGCATCCAGCATTGATTAAAGGACAAAAGTAACACAACTCAGCTTATGATTGATCCTCTTTTTTCCGGACATTTCACCAATCAGCTACACAGTTTGCCCACATGACAACCCTTTTAGGCCTTAATGAACTTAGACAGCAAAATGAAGAAAGCACAGACCCAGAAACTGTTCAAAAGTGAGCAAAGAAACATCCTGTTGATCAAAAGCTGCTATATCCTTCTCGCTGTTCTCGTCTTTCCTTTATGTACAGTGTCTCTAACAAAATTGGATCTGGGTAACTACCCATCTCCTCTGAAACTGTAGTTACAAGTTAAAGAGACAAAATCTAACCGACCATTTACACCTATTTTTCAGAACATGACCCAACAAAACCTGTCAGTTAATCAGACAAGCAGTAGTTGTAGCAGCATTTTAGGCAGGATGAAGAGTTTCTATGCGATCTTCCGGCCTTGTGCTGTCTCTTACTCAGAGAAGACGATGTGTCTGATGCACATTCGACTTCCTCAGTCTGCTCCACCATGTTAGGAAACCCAGATTCTCTTAAGACAAAAGTTTGAAGAAGATTACACAGAGAATCTGTAACTTCTGTAAATTCGGGACGGCCACTGGGATCCTCAGCCCAGCATGACTGCAAGAGAGGGGCAATATCTTCTGGGATTTCCTCGAGACTTGGTCTTATTTTCTGAATGAAGAAATGATAAATCACTGTCATTGGAGAATTTGGCCAGTTTCAATTGATAATACAACACAGCAAAAGTTTTTCTTTTAGTTGGTGTGCTAAAGGAGTCGTGATGAATAGGTCATATATGGTGGTCCACACCATTTCCTAATCCTTGGATGTGACGTTTTCTTAAACTCTCTTGAATTTGGCTAGAAAGGTATTGTCTTGGTGTTCTGACTTCTAACACATATCTAGAAGTTTATATTGGCTTCAAAAGGAACATGTACTCCTAGTTTCTTTCTGTTCTTAAGTTTTCCGCAACTTTCTCAACCATTTTTTCCAAGTGAATCTTAACATAAAATAAACTGCAGAAATTTAACATACTTTTTATAAGTATGAGCCATCTCAATGGAAAATTCACATGTCAAAATCATACCTTGGCTGTGGCATATGCTACCATAACATTGTTTCTGCCCTTGTATGGAGTCTTGTTCGTCAGCAATTCCCAGAGAATTATTGAGAAGCTGTAGACATCTGCCTTGTGATCATAGCATTTCTTGCCTCCAACAGGCAATGGATCAATGCTAAATAGCTGATAAGAAAAGTGATACGTTAACAAAATAAAACACACTCGGAGATGAACTTTCTTGAACCAT